TTGGCTTTGCGGGCATGGGTGTGGACAGCAGAACGAGTGTGAGAATAAGAGTTGATTAAGCAATGGACGTTGGTTCATGTGAGACGGCGGGGTTCGCAAAAAAAGACACCTGGACAGGGTGGAGGGACGTGGACGACGACGCGATGCATGAGGGGAGCTGGGTGGGCTAGAAACAGTGGCTGCGGGAGGGGCACGCATCCGTAAACGTCCATTCGTCGTTGGGTCCAGAAAATCCTTTTTTTTTTTTCCTCCTCCGCGACGACAGCTGTGTGGCGAGTCGCGAGGGATAGAAAGAAATTGAGCAAATAGACGCAAGAATCCGATGGACGAAAACCGAGATTGAAATGTAGACACCAGACCAGTCGAGAGGGCCAATTGCAGACCAAGCTAGGGTAAAAATGGATGCGCCTTCGCTCATCCGTGTTGTTGATGATGTGTGTAGTGTAGGTATCTTGGCTTGGGCATGCTGTGCGCCTAGGCATTCGTCGATTGTATGTACCTACATGCATACGCACGTACGAACGAACGAACGGATTGCTAGCTGCTGGCCTGCAACAAGAACGGCAGCTAGCTACAGGGATTGATCCGATGCGCGCTAGAGACAAGTGGAAGGAAGATAGACTTACTCCGATGGAACTCCATCCTCGTGGTGGCACGGATGTCGCCTTTCTATTCCATGACGGGATCGTGACGGGAATCGAAGACAAGTGGTGACCAAGTCTTTCCAATGTGGATTGACAAACGGACGCTTCCATGCAGATTGAAGCAAGCCAGGCGGTGGTGGATAAGAGGAGGGATGCAACGGGGACCGCGGCGCCAGCGACAGAGACGGACGAGGGAGCTCGACATTGGATGAACATGGATCACCAACTCTCTTCTCAGCCATGGAGCTGCCCAGCAGGGCAGGGTGCTGTGGAGCCAGGGCGTGCACTGAGAGACAATGTTTTTGACGACTTTCCTTGGTAGGAGAGCAAAAGCCACGTTTTGTGGCGAGCGCCTCTTTGGCCAGTGTATCCGTACGATCGACCAAGATCCCGCGAGACGAGACGGGCATCGAGAAGGGGTGAGGAAAAGGGATTGAAAGAACAAAAAAAATTAAATTCGACAGAAGTCGCGACGCTGCGGGAGATGATCAGCATGGACGTTTTATGTCCGCTGTGTAACGTGCACTAGGAGGTGAAGCCGTCGGGGCGATGACGGGTCGACGGGTGTTCGGGAGCACCAGGCACGGTCGAGCGGTGTGGTTGGCGTTTCCAGGCCCCGTAGGCCGGGCAGTAAAATGGCTTTGTGCGCTCCGGGAGGTCGATGTTGGCAAACCATGGTCGATCCGATCCATGTTGTGCCATCCAGTGAATGTGTGTCATGGTGCTGATGGTTGGATGGAGCGTGGGCAGACTGGACTGGCCAGTCAACTAACTGCCTTCACCTCAAGCTAATGTGGTAATAGCAGTACAGCGCGACGACGATGGGCGTGCTGCGCTGCTTTCCACCGATTCATTTCTGTCGTGGCCCTGGGCTGGTTTTGGGACGGTTGTAGGCGAGAAGATTAGCGTCTACCGTGCCTCAAAGTACGGCTACCCGAAGCTGAGGTTCCCTTTGCTTTGGCGCATCTCGTCATTCGGGCCTGCTGTTGGTTGCGGCGCTCGTCGTTTGTCCAACGCAACCTTGTTCGATCTCGGGAGCCTGGACGAGAAGCCGTAAATCAGATGGAGCGAGGACGAATCGCAGGCGGCTTCAGGGCCCCCTGCACGCCGCGATGTGTTCCAGGTCCAGGGTGGTAGCTAAAACAAGTGGGAAAAAAGTCGAGCCATGTGGTTGAAAATTGAAGCCGAATCTTGTTTGGTTGCATGCCCCGAAGTTGGGAACTGCAGCGATGGCTTTTTCGCAGCTGGCTGGAGGGTTTTTCTTGCAGATTTGGCAGAATCCGTTGCGCTATTGTGAGTGTGTCTAAGCTATCCATGTCGGAACGTGGAGTCGACAGCATGGGTAACGTAACTGTGTCCCAACGGGAAAAGCAATGAAGAATCTCAGGACGACGTGTATCCGCTAGAGGCACGCACTGGGACCTCGAGTACGAGATACGTACCGTAAACGAAAAGATACCTTGTATCTGCATCTGCGCTGCTGTGCTGTGGGTAGAGGCGTTTTGTCCCACAGACGCGAGCAACTGGAGACATACATAAACCGAGGATAGAATGAGGAAAAAGCAAAGAAGGGAACCTGCAATGGTGGAGAGGGGGGGGCTGATGGAGAAGGCCCGAGGGGTCTGTCTGGGCAGACATACTCCATAAAGAGAAGGCAGAGCAAAAAGGGAATTTTGGTGTGGCGGCGGTTGAAGACGACGTCGCAGCAGACTCTGTGCGTCCCGTCCACGTCCAGTCCGTATTCGTAGGGGAAGCCGGAGACGACGACTGGAGAGGGACGTCGACGGCTGTCCCATCGGGAGTTGGCGATGTTGAATTGGACATGTCCCGGGAAAGCATTTACTGGTTTCTGCTCTGTCTGCGCCTGGGGCCCATGCACAGAGGTAGGCAGCCGAAGAATAGGCGAACGGGATGCAGAAGCCGCGACCCCTGACACCGATGGTTGGGACCACTGCAAGCCGTTCCGGACGCGCCTTCCATTGACGAGTCACATCCCTGCCACTTCCCACAGATGGCTGGCGCCCGCCGTCCGATGACAGTGAGTGTGGACTTCCAGTGGAAGGGATGGGGGAGTGGGGCCACGGGAACGTATCGCCCAGATTCCGACCTCACCTTCTCCACTCTTGACTACACCTCATTGAACTTCATCGCCCAACCCACCACCACGACCTCGACCGGTGACCGTCATCCACCCTTGAACGCTCCTCGCGCCCCTCCTCTCCGACCTCTCCGTTCCCGGGAACCTTGCAAATCCGTGGCCGCATTGCGACCTGCAGGCCAATGGCAGTTTGCGCACCCGCTGGCCGGCTGGGTTTCCTTACCGGATCCGGACCGTACGAATAGTTGCCGAGGGGATTCGATCCCATCCAGCGAGAGAATGTGGGAGCTTTCCTGGCAAGCGACACGGATAGCCAGTTCGGATGCGTGAGGTGTTGCGAAGCCAGATGGATGGCATGGCACGGCACGTCAGGGGACCCTCATGGTTCTTTCTTGTTGATTTTCCACCATTTTCTTTTTCTACCCCTCCGTGTAATAAATTCTGCTCAATCTCGCCACAAGCACTCTCTTGAGATAGGAAATCGTGACTGTCGAACCAACAAAAAAAAAAGTCTAGACCGGCGCATGCTCCTTCATTCCCGTCTTCATGTTGACGAACTGGTCTACTTACAAACGAACACCACACCGCATTTCTCCATTCCAATTTCCCGTCCCCCCTCCATCGGCATCCCCATCCCCATCCCCATCCCCGTCCCAACATCCCAATCTCGAACCCCCCCTTCCATGAAACCCCCAGCCTCCATTCCGATCCCCTCTCCTCCCACCCCCTTGATCCCCAGATTGCCACTCGAGGGCTACATTCCGATTTTCTCTTGCTGTTCATTTGCGCGCGTTTATCTGTGCCCATCAGCCTGTCTGAGCTCTGTCTTGTCTGGGATTTAAGTTTTTTTTGACAGCACTGGCCCGGCCCGCGAACCAGAGATGCAGATGAAATGTGATGAAATGGCGGGGGCCTGCGACGGCCGGTGAAGGACTCCTACGAATGGCGTTGGACTCCACACCTTCTACGGCACACTCGACTGCAGGACACATGCAGGACCCTGTCCAACGGCACACCTATCGCTGATCTACAAACCCACCCGAGACATGGTTCGTCAAAGATTCCAACAGAATCCAGAGTTCATGTGATGGCCACTGATGCGATGCCACCAGCCAAAAGGAATGATAAACGACGTTCGTTACTGAACCAGTATCTGAATTATCGTACGAATCCCATTCCATCCCCCAACGTCGTCTGCAGCTCCATCGCCTCTCCGGATCGGGACTGTTGTCGCCTATTTGCACCCGGCGAAACACAAACATGACTGGACGCTTGTGATTTTGATCCCTCACGGCAAATTGCACCTTGAGCTTGATAACGCAATACATTACAACGGCCACGCGCGCACATACACACGCCAAGTGTTTCGCTGAACATTTTCTCCGCTTGTCATCATCGTTATGGCTTCCGCCGGCATCCCCATTCTTTCGCAACGAAAAAAACATGGTATCCCGACAAAAGGAACTGCCAAAATACATTCTTCCTCGTCGCTCGGCAAACTCGACAGACATGGACAGATCTCCGATCGAGAGTCCCAGCACAGTAGAGGCGGTAGAACCGGCGAGGGCTTGGCCTAAAAAACTCCGATTCCATGCCAGACGTTGAAAGCCAACGACTTCTCTTTTGGCCTGCTCGCATTGCGCCTCTGCAAGCCCCTGCAGTGCATCCCTCCCTGGTCCCAGACATGATGAAAGTGGAAAAAAGAAAAAGGAGATCCTCCCCGCTCGCGCCACGCACCACGGCAATTCCACCCTCGGTTCGCCTAACACGCGCAGTTTTCCAAGTTTCGGGGTTCCAGGTCATGGGCTGACCAGTCTTGGGGTCGCCAGTCTCGCTGGAAGAGTTGACTGACGAAAAAGTATGGCTTCTCGTATGCGTTGTCCTCGTAAAGCTCGTCCCACTCGTTTCCTGGTTTCCATCACGTTAGTCACTAGTCTCAACGCAGCTGAGTCCTTTGCCCCTCATCTGGCACATTAAGAGCACGAGATCATCGTCTCCAAGATCAGTGGAGTGGTTGAATGGCTCCGCCGCATCGTGAAAAAATGAAGAAACCCCGCTTACTGTGTGCCATGACCTGTGATCGAGTCCAGTGAACAAATTGGATCGCTTGTTCGTCCAATTGAGCCAGCTGTTGCAAATCCTGATCTCTGCAGTCTTCGCTAAATGGGGCCACGTTCTTGTTGCAGTAGTGGAAGTATGCCAGAAGAATCGTGCCTCCTATCCACCAGTGGTCCGTCAGCATGTCTTACTCAACAAAATCACTCGCTGGGACGATAAAAGATCACTCGATCCCAGCAGTCGTACGTACCCCAGTGATACTCTTGAACATCTGCCTCTCGAGCGAACTTTGTCTGTAATGACAGTCATCTGTCAGCAATCCATCCAAATACAAAGCGTCGCGTCCCAAGTCTAATCGATTCTCCCGTTCTGACTCTAGTCTTCTCACCTTCATCCCGTGTTTTCTGGCGTAAGATGCATCGTGGTTTGCCAGAAGCGCAATGTTGTGTAGTAGTATGAATGTCACCAGGTACGTTGTCAGCCATGTCTTCTGCTTGTTTTGCTGGGTCATCTTCTGGAGTTTCTCCAGCATGTCGCGTCTGAGCCTCGTCTGGATATGCTGGATGAGGACTAAGTCCAGCTGGGCGCCCATGACTGGCGGAAGAGGGATCTTTCCATGCTGTGGGCTGCTGTTGTCCAGGATGTTACGGTCCATGCCGAGCGTCTCGTTTCCCACAATCTCCACCGACTTTGTGGTTAAGCGAACCGCCACCCACAGCTCCAAAGTTTGCGTCAAAAGCTCCCGCTCTTCTGGAGAGATTCTCGGATCTTGAGAAAGCTGCCAAGCCTTGCTATAAGTTGTGAAGAGTAGATGATCCCGGGCGCCCATTACGCCCTCAACTAACGACGAGAAGCAGTCGACGACGCCCCTTTTGATGTAGTCCTGGTACGCTGCCTGGGCTTCATCGAGGTCGGTTATGGCGTAGGGAGGAATCGGTACCGACTTCTTCGAACCATCCGGTCCCACCCAAGAACGCTCCAGCTTGTCGCCTGGCTGAGGAATAAATTCACGCACGTGAAGCTGCACCGACATCCCCCGCGCGTAGCCCTCCGTCACTCTGATGATCTTCACATCCGAAGACGCCCAGTTGGCGATGTTGTCTACAGGGCCGTTGTCTCCCCAGCGCAGCGTCCATTCAAACCCATGCACCTGGCCCGGCTTCATGCATTTGACGTCAGTGAGCTTCGCACGGATACAAGGGAGACGAGAGAGGTGCTTGTGGTGGATACTATTCGCTTTGGGCTTGCAGGTAAGGCAGCACGCGGTTTCATCGTCGGGATCCGGTACGCACTGGTCAAATCATCAGTCGTCTTTCTGGGATGCCTCACCCGACGTCTGTCCAGACGCATCCTGGTCTTTACTCACGCGAATTCTTTGCATCTTGCAGCGCACGCACGATCCAATCTTCCTGGTGTTGGCCGTCTCCTGGCGCTGCCTGATATCCTTGAACGGTCCACGCTTCGAGGCCGGGGCTCGCTGATGAGAGTAGACGATATCAAGCCGAGAAGCCGAGCCCGATTGCCCGATGTCCTCATCCTTGACGCACATTTCCGGCATGGCATACGGATATTCCGAGGCCACTGCGGCCAGGTCCCGTTGATGTTGCATGGTTGGAGGTAGAGATGGACCTACGAGTGCAGTATTGTATGGAGTTGAGAGCAAATCATTCGTGGGCGCAGGATGGCTGGTGATGCCCGACGAGTTTTGAGAAGCGTCAGGAGCGGAGGCATTTGGAGCATTGGTGTAGTAGGCAGGCACCGGTATGTCAGTGTATACCAGGTTGTCGGATACAGCAGGCGGTACCGTCAGAGCCTGGTTCGGGCTTTCTTGTGCAGACTGATAGCTCGTCACGTAGGTGCCCATCAGCCCAGAGTCTGCGCTCGAGAATGCGGTGGACTCGTTGGGCGGTATGGTTGTCGGTACATAGACATCCTGTTGAGCGACGTTCACTGAAGGCCGTTTCTCGACCTCATAACCGGTGGTAGCTCCATAGTCAAAGGCACTTGGTGCTGGGACGAGCTGGTACCCTGATAGCCTGTGAATAAACGACCAAACTAGGACACCGGGAAACATGATGCGTACATACCCTCAGGAACAGTAAATGTACAAGGAGAGAAGCACGTTTGGCAACAACCTCCTAGAAGGCCGGCTATGCCTTCAACTAGCCCAGTTGCAAGACCAGAACCATGAAGACCGGCGGAAGGTCCCGGTTCGCCATCAGCAAAATGATGTTGACCGTAGTGTATGGCCTGCTGAGACTTCTCCGAAGAGCCCTGAGCAATGGAACCGCCGGGCATGTGCGAAGACATCGAGTTCTCTGGTAATGGCCTATGTCTTTTGGGCGGCTGGTCGTAATATGTGCCAAAGTAAGTTTCCAGGGCTGCTTGATGAAGTTGGTACCCTTGGAGGTTGTAGAAGGATGCGATTTGATTAATCTGATGTTTGAGGTCTGGGTGTAGACAGTGGAAGTCAAATGGAGGAGGAGCTAGGAGAGGCTGCGAGCTCTGTTGCGCTGGCACTAAAGGAGATTCGTCCTCGAGGCCGTGAGGCCGGCGCCTCTTGAGATTATGATGATTCTAAGACGAAATCAATTCACCGCACATTTGGGTGATAGGGCAAACGGAGGAGGGGGCGTGACCAGCAAAGATAGAAAAGCCTGGGCTAACAAAAGATATGAGGGGACAGCGTGTGTGCAATGATGCGGGTGCTAAGACGGCAGCTGGGCTGGAAGGACAATGGGGAAGATCGGTGATATATCCCATGCACGCTGCCGCAAGCCGGGAAGCAGGGACATCTCTTACCATGATTGATGCGACGAGAGAGGGTGTGTTGGACAGAGCCTAGTAGCGAGACGAAGTACCACAACCGGTGGCGTGTATAATGTATACAGCAGAGACAAGCAGCAGCAGCAGCAGCAGTAGCAGCAGCAGCAGCAACAGTAGCAGCAGCAGGCAGGCAGCCAGGAGTGAGCAGGCACAGCGAAGCACAAGGGCAGCGTAGAAAATTGCGCCTCACCGGGAGGGGGTGGGGGAGCTACGGTCTCACGAGAGCCATTGCCACATAATGGCACCCCTTGTGCGCGAGTGGAGTACTGGAAAGAGGGTAAGGTAGGGGAAAGGAGAGGAGGGTTGATGACTCGGCGAGAAACAGGAGGCGGAGGAAGAACAAGTCAGTGTAGGGGAAAGAAAAGAGGAGTGGAAGCGAACAATAGGGAGTCGGGCTAGAATGGGCAATTGTGAAGAGCAACAGAGACAGACAGAGAGAGACAGGCCCTGTTTGACAGCAGACACTCGGCCGAAACGGGGGGAAACAACGAAAGGAAAAGGCGGCAAGGCAAGTGTGCGCTGTGCTGCCGACTCTCAACGGTATCTGGCTGCGAGTGTACGTGCGTGCTCGATTGGTATGGTATACCGCTCTGTTGTCTAGGTGCGTCTGCTTCTGTCGCTGTTTCTGCGTCCCGGATTCCTTCTTGCTGGCTTTTCGCTGCTGTCGCAACGTGCTTTTTGGTCGTGGTCTGAGCCCAGGCGTCTCGCGCTGTCTCGCCTGCTCGCGACCAGATTTCGGAGCCGTTGGGGTTCTCGATGCTCGCTTTAGCAATGTCTCCTGCGGTGGAGCAGAACGTTGCGCGCGCGGGCTGGCTAAGATCAGAGAGCGTGCCGATAGAGACTCTGTTGCTGGCGATTGGCGTGCCTGTGCTGGTCGGTCAGTCTCTGTCGAAGGAGTCGAGGCTGAAGTGAGAAGACTCGGTGAGAGAAGTTGAGGAAGTGGGCTGCACCCGTGCTGAATTGTATTTCACCGGTCTGAGGGGTACTCATGAAAAGGACAGGGGTTCTGAGGCCACGCCACGCCACGCGAGAGGAGGAGCCGAGCATCTTCCCGCCCCTGCCGAGTGGATGGATTTCAGGCTGCCCGTCTGATGGGAACAGAGCAGCAGGGGTGGGGAAGAGGGCGCCATGGTACCGAATGTCGTGAGCAGTGCTGATCCTGATTCTACCTTTCCGTTGCGTCTCTTCTTGTGTTACCAGCAGCTGTCTGTTTGCTCCGTCTGCCTAGCTGGAGAGCCCAAGACTAAGCGCCAGCAAGACCCCGAGGCTAATCTCAGCCGTGGGATCTGCTGATTCTCATGATCATTTACCGCAGCGAACGCCGCCAACGAGAAAGCGCATCGTGGCCTCCGGGGTCCTCGGTTGGTTTCGGGAGACGAGTGGTTGCTCAAGGCTAGGCATTGCCTAACATGTGGGCTTTCGGGTGCGAGTGCTTACGTGAAGTTGTCATTAATGACCCCATGCGGGCGACGACGTGATCTGACCAGACGAGGAGTCATCATACTTCATCGCCCGGCTAACACCCTGTACCGTGCCATGTTACCAGCAGGCCGAGGCAGCCAACCAATTCCCCTGCGGCCGCAAACCCCCCGGATTTGGCTCATTAATCATCTGTTTGCCAATCTGACCTCCACGCTTCTCAACGTTCCATCGGAAAGCGCCACGGTCCCGAGGGTCTGACACCGTTCACCTCTTTGACCAGGTTGGTAAGTCTCTGGAGGAGCTAAGTCAAAGAGGTGTGTACGTCCGCGGTCTGGCACCTATATCGTATGTGTGGGTGCTGGGAAGAGCCTCGTTGTTGGTTTTCTTTAGGGAAGTGCATCCGTCGCAACCCAGGGGCCGTCACCGCTTGTCCATGAGACGGCGCAAAGGTGTGGTGGATGGAAATGTCTCTTCGAGGCACAATGCGATGATGCCCCCCTGTCGCCTCCACTATAGCCGAGATAGACACGACATCAGTCCCAGAAAAACGGTCGACAAAAATCTTGGGGATTTGGGGGGAGAAGCTTCTTCTCCATCTTGTCGGATCGAAGGCGCTCCGTTGGTCGAATACCGACTCTCAATTGGCTGATTTCCCAGTCTATTGGCCGATCGGCCAGGCTGTCAGTTGACTCTGTCAGTGGCTTACATATGATTGAGGAGCATCAGCATCCTCCGCTCTAGAGGATGATGTAGCCGTGTCTGGTCCAGTAACCGGGCGTGCGTACACCACCCACCACACCTACCAACAAGGCCACTGCCACTGCCACCATCACCAACACCAACACCAACACCAACACCACCGCTGCCCAAGTCCACATGGCCAGGCCGCGCCGCGGCGCTGGGCCGTCAAGCGAGACGCTGTGTGAAGAGCCCTGCCGATTGTCGAAAAAAAAAGTGAAGCTTGCAGGATACGCACTTTTGCGTCTCGCCAGCCCCATGTCCAACCAGACAGCCTTGACCGCCCTTGACGCCGCCCCCCTGCTTTAGCCGTCATCCATGGATGGCGGTCCGCCAGGCGACTGATGATTTGACACAGCTGGCGACGACCCAGCAATTGACCGCGCTATCTGCAGCTCGCCCGTCGATTCCAGAAGAGTACCAGGCTGCGGTTTCTAGGTTCTCGGCCACGAAAGGTTGTCCTCTTCTGGAATTCGCATCTGTCAAATCGTTGGACGGTCGACGAGGTGCATCATGCGGATCATGCAAAATGGTGTCCCGGCAGAGAGCAAACACTCCCCATCTCTTCTTGGAAAATATGTCGGTCAACGGTTTTGGCCTTTTCAATGGCAAGGGAGCCTGCCGAGCAGGCCCTGCATGCGCGGCCACCACCAATAACGGACGCCTTGATCGATGCAGCTGATGAGGTCAGGGAACCACCCACTAATGGCCTCGTATCAAATCAACATCCGACGTTTCTCTGCATGAAGCCGTGCCAGTTGTGTGAGGCGAGGTGAAGTCAGTATTTCGCACCTGCCGCACAAAGTACATGAGTTCGATCCCTGAACCAAGCTTGGTCGCCCGTCGGGTGCACAAAGTTCGTCTTGTCTTGTCTTTCCAACAGTGACGGTGACGAGAAGGAAAGCAAGCATCGGGGAGTGAGGGGCATCGGCGTAGAGGGACGCAGGATACCGTGGCTGGTTTAAGCTCAAATGGGCAACCGGTGAGCTGGGAGTGTTATATGTGGATGGTTACCCAACGAGCCGAGAGAATCGATCCGTAATCGTATGAACAGACCCCGGGACGTTCAAATGAGGGTGTGCGTGAGTCTAGGTAGCTCGCATGTCTCCTAGTGTAGCGCGAATTATTTTGCGGCCCACTCGTGCGAAAAACACGTCAATCTCCCACCACTGTTGGACTTCTCGCCAATGCTCTGCGCTTCTTCCGTCCTCCTCGCTGCTGTATCCGTGCAGAAACTTGCGTTTCTGTGTGACGGCAACCTTGGAATGCAGCATATTTTTTTTCTGGGCTGGCGGGAGTTGATAGGAGCGGGACGGTAGGATTGGGGGTGGCCCACTGCCACACACCCTGGCCCAGTGGCCGGCAACATGTGAATTGACGAATAACGGACGCGGAGGTCCAAATCCGATCGAGGTGTCGCTAGTGGTCAACTTTTTTTTTCTGGCAACTTCTGTGTATGCCAAGACCATCAACGAAGAGTTAACGAGAGCTTTCAACCGTGAGAGTTCAAAGCCCGGCACCGTCAATCCATTACCGGACTTGCAGAGGCACTGCTCTTCCGAGTTAGGCTTGTAGACCTCCCCAGCTGGAAGTCGGCAAGCTGAGGGTTACAAGCCCGTGGGGATTGTTTGAACAGGCGGTATCCTTGGATGAAGGTCGGATCTGTGTCGTTTGTCAACAACTTGCGGGCATTCGGTCAGGTCGAAATAACCTACAGTGTTCCATATGTAATGTAGGTGCAGCCGCACTTGCATGGTCCACCTGCGGAAGACGTTCCGTCACTCTAGCCTCCGCCGGAGCAAGGCCAACCTTGCACTCGGTGAAGGCAAAGTGGCCGAGCGGGCGGGCGGGAGACTCGGGCACCAGCATCGGCCTATGGCAAGGAGTGGATATATCCACCCGGTGAGAACGAACCTCAAGGACGGCCAGGTTTTCATCGGGAAACTTCCTCGAAAGTGGGCAGAGAGACGGTGATGATTTCTCAAGATTTGCGCTTGTCGTGGCAAGCAACCATTTGACCCATCGAAAAGGCGGCTATAATGGGTAACCGGTTCTTTCCAGGGTCGCGGCACGGTGGCATTGACACCGGCGAGGGGAGGCGGCTGGTTCCCGAAATGCAGCTCGGCGTACACGGCGTCTGGACTCAGCCTGGGCGGCCAGCCGCTCAAACAATTCTCGGGGAAGTTGTTGAGGGGAAGGAAGTGCAAGGGTCGTCGTCTTGTTCCATCTGTAGGCGGACAGAGGCTGTGCGGCCTTTCATGAACTCATAGGCACGTCCATATTATGGCTGCAGTATTGCTTGAGTTATCCCAGGGGCGTCTCTGTACTTGGAACTGAGAGGACGGCCCCGTCCGGCCCTTCTTGACCCCCAAAGATGGTGCTGCCGGCAGTGGTCAAAGTCTCGCAAGCCCCCCACAGAACCTGCATGGTGATGGAGGACAAGCAGCGAATGATGTGATGGTTTGGTGACTTGCAGAGAGGAAACAGCATCTCATCAAAGGGATGGACGACCAGAATTTGTTGAGGACGACGCTTGCTCCAACAGCTGGACGTGCTGTACAGTGGCGGCAAGGCACGATGGACAAGCATGGCGCAGAACTGAGAGAGGAAAGCGAGAGACCGAGAGGTGCCGTATGGCCAGGACGTCGGAAGAAGGGTGGCGCCGGAGAGTGCCAGGACCAGATGGGATGAACATGATCTCAAGGATCTCCGAAAGTTGGGGTAAAGCGGCCGTGAGGTAGGGTAGCGAAGGACATGGTGCAGCAACGCCGAAGTGAAAGATGACGGGACTGACTGGACCGGCCAATCGAGGAGCAGTAGATCCGGCTGCGATCGGACTACTCTGGGTTGGCACAAAAGCAAACCCCAGCAGTCAAATTTTTTTTTGGGGAGGATTGGCGAGGGATGGACGGATGGACGGGTGGATGGATGAATGGGTGGAAAGCACGATGAAGGTGCAGCTGGCGTTCGAGCATCACGTGGGGTGCATCTCAAGTGCAGCTGCTTCCGGATGCAGCGTCGAACTTTCCCAGCCCTTGGACAGACGGAAGGGCGTCTCTAGCGTCATTTCATGGCAACTTCGAGCTGGACGTTCCTGGCACCTTGCCTGGTCGAGACAAGCTTGGTGATGGCAGGGCCTGGGCCAGTATGTCTCTGACGCCTCCTACTGCCTTCCTTCCCGTCCTATCCAACTGCCAATGGCATTCATGTGCCCCTTCCTCCGTGCCGGCAGGAGCCTCCTTCCATTGGATGCTGCCCGGCACCCAGAACGGACGGGACGGCACAAAGCAGGCGCATTACCTAAGGCAAGGCAAGGCGAGGCAGACAGACCACGGGCAAGCACGGTACTTCTGACTTCAGGTGAGGCAGGTGCAGGTGGTGGTTGGGGGAAGGAGGAGTGGAGAGGCATGGAAGGTAAGGTCCGTCCCGTCTGTTGCTGCGTGTTTGTTTCCTCCCCTCATCGTCAGATATTCCAGCAACTTGGCCTTTTTCTTGCCTACCTACCGACATACCTTGCCTTAGTACCTTATCTACCTACCTTGTTAGTTGACGATGCCATCATACCTAGGTACGAAGCTGTGCCTGTCTGCCCGCCCGTACCTTACCATATAGGGCAATGGAACGTACCCAGGCACGTATGTAATGTAGGGGGATGTACTCTGTATCAGTGCTCATGCGGACCTGGTACGGTCTCGAAGCACAGGGCAGCTCTTGTGACGATCCTTGAAAAGATGCCGCGCTCTCCAGGTCTTGTTATTTCCTTCTCGAGGCGGGCGCTCCCGCGATTTGTTCCTTCTGCGATGCCTTGGCTGACACATGGACTGTTGAGATGGGCTTCTGGACAATCCGCCAGATGGATTGTCACTGCGAGTAAGGCATCCAGCTCTCGCGACACCGAAACGACCGGTACGACATGTCCGAAGTCCGGTTACTCACGTCAACGGCTTGCACTTTATTTAGTGGCAAGTTCCCGTGTCGACTGGCCTGATGTGCTGCTTGCATGGCTTGCATCTGTCGCCGGAGGTACCACTGTGCCAGTCCCAAGCGGTCCGATTACGCGGCCGTCAGCCGTCGGCGACTGAGGATGGCATTTATATCATCTATCACATTCAAGTAATATATTCGGTCTCTGGCCAACGGGATTCCCACTTGAGCTTATGGCGGCTATTGCCCGCATACCGCCTGCTGTGCCCTCTGCTCAGGCGCGATCTGGACCCAAGCTTGCAATCAGCCGTCTTCCCGAATGAAACAAGCCGGGCTAGCAACCACCCGCCTAAGGCGAGGTTCTTTACACTGCATAACGGCTGGTCGCTCTCACTGCCCTACGAGTGCTTTGTCTAAGACACGGGGTCTGGGAGATGGCGGGGCCCTTTTGAATTGAGGGGCAGCGAAGTGGCCGTTGGAGATTGTTGGAGTGAGGCGTCCGTGAAGAGGAAAAAGAAACGACGAGGCCGATAACGAACCTAACAAGGCAGGAGCCATGCAGCTTCCAACCGCCATCGGCAAGGAAAGCAGTTTCAGCTGAGCTGGCCTCGACCGTGAGCTTCCAGGTTTGTTTTGCTTCTGCATTCTTGGCTTTCTACCTTAGCCTCCACTGCCTCCTTCCTACCTACTTGCCTACCTTCCATGGGTAAGAAGGGAAGGTATGTAGGGAAGGAACGTATGTAATCTCCTGCCCATCTACCTACCTTCCTCAAGGTACATGCTGCTTACTCTCAGAATCGCACCTTCTTCCAACATGTGATGTGCCTGCCTTCCACAACTTAGAAGGCACGCACGACACAGCAAGCAGCCATCTCATCGGAAGGACTTGCCTGGCCAGCCAGCCAGCAGCTGCCTCACCTCACATATCACCTTATCTGACGTCGGTCACCTTACCTGGGGAAGCCGTGGCTCTTGCCAAGGCGATGCGGCTTACGGAGTACAGGCAATGGAAGTCGCCACTTGGTTCTCTGAGTGGACGGCACTGCCGTTGCAGGACCACCCCGTTTTTGATCCGCGCTTGTCCGACTGCCTCGGTGTGTAAGTTAAAATACCTTAAGGTAACGTCTGCAAAAGTTCGGGCTTCGAAACCTCCCCCCCTCCCCAGCCACTTTGGATCCAACATCTCGCGACTCGCGACTGAACTGGACCCTGGCACCAGCACATGGGCAGTCAAGTCCACTTCCCTCTCCGGTCGAACCAACATCATTTTCCTTGCTCCCGCAGTCAGCCCTCTCGGCCCCAACCAATCAGCTCACGCCCTCCCAGACGCCGGTCGACGTCTGTCTGCAGCTACCTGCAGGGCAAGCACACAAACACACAAATCGGATCCCAGCATAATCATGCAAAATACCCACGTCCACGATCACGCCCAGCCGAACCCGTAACCTCCGCGCCTCTCCCCGGTCGCCCCGCCATCGTCTTCCATAGTTCCCGTTGGTCGCTCATCGCGGATAAGGCCAGCCAGGAGGAGACCTTCAGCATCCCCCCGCCCTCTTTCGTCCTCCAACGTCTCACAGCATCGCTCGACGCGACCAACAACCCAGCCTTCGGCGATCCGTCACTTGATCACCCGTCCTTCCCCCACGCGCCACCTGTCTGTCGCTAACTCTGACGTTGACTGCCACAAGCAACGTGGTTCGATGCCGTGAAACATCTTCACTATACAACCTTTGCGCTATTGGACGACCTGGTCTCACTGGGCCTCTGAAACTTGACGTCGTTGTCGCCACAAGATGGAGTTGGCGTCGGACATAATACACGACATTATTCATCCTACGGCCGCCTTCACTGACGCCTCGAGACGCGAAATTAGCCATAATGACAATGCCGATTCAAGGCAACCGCTATCGGCGGACTGGGATGCGTCCCAGCTCAATCCGAAGAACCGAATTGACAGTCTCGATCCCCTCCCCGACCCTCTCTGGCGGATTGACGGTTGTACGGGCCTCGGGACTCAGTTTTACGTCCTGCCGTTGTTCCTGAAGTCCATCACACCGATGCGCATCGATGCCTTCATCCCGGAACAGTCGACCCAGTCACAAGAGGTTCGCCAACTGCTGGACCTTGACGTGGCTTTCCATACAAGAGACCGGACGCGGGTACAACAGCTCAACGTTGCCAAGCACATCCTCCGCGCTTTGCAGTATTGGACCAAGAGCCTCGTCGAACCCGGGTCACTCTTTACCTCGGTACCCTTTGGGTCTCGGATCGTGTTCAAGGATCTATCGCTCGATACCAGGGCCATTCAGATCGAAGTCGCACCTACCTACTATCTAGAACGCCAGCTACTTTCATCAGCCGCTCTTTCTGAAATGTGGGGTCCTTCAGTCGAGATGCCCGAGTGCGTTGACATATCCGAAGTACACGTGGTCGAGCAGATTCACGACAGCGTATGTCTCGTTCGGATCCGAGGCACCGAATGGATCTTCAAGACCTTGACCAGTTACACCAAATACCTGTATCATGAGATGAAACTACTCTTGTCAGCAAAGCCACACCCGAGCATCATGTCACGGCCAGTTCATCTTGTTACGAAGCAGTGCACCTTCGGAAGTAAGGTGGCGGTCCTTGGATTTACTCTAGAGTTCCACCGATACGGGACGATGAGGGACATCGTGCCATTTTTGCAGGCAAGCAACACATTGACACCGGCGGAGCAGTTCAAATGGGCCACACAGATCACCTCCGGTGTGGTACACTATCGGGAAACCTCTGGCACCTTCTACCCAGACCTTCGCTTGGACAACGTCGTGCTGTCTGAAAATAGAGACGCCATCATGTGCGATTTTGAACAGCGCGGGGTATGGTGCGAGTTCGCCTCACCAGAAGTCAACGCCATCGAGTACATTCGTATCCTGGCCACTGACGAGAATATGCCTGACGATGCCAAAGACCACTATGTTGAACTTTTGAAGAGGTTGTGCCCGGACTTCGAGTCGCTTCAGGATAGAGAAGAGTACACGAATCCCGAAAGGGGCTACAATATTTGTTGGTGGGGACTGAGTCCCCAAGAGCAGGAATCTTCAGAGGTGTATATGCTTGGAAGAGTACTGTGGTGTTTGTTTGAAGGCGCTGGCGCTCCGCAGCAAGCCTCTATTTGGCAATCCTACCGTCGAGAAGCGCATATCGAGTTTCCGGATTACCTCAGGACACCGCCTAAACTGAGGGCTCTCATTGATCGTTGCACCCGCGGACGTCGAGCCACTCTTAACAGCAGAATCGTCAGAAAGGGGAGCAAGATGGCGTTTACGAATGCGGAAAACGGCGATGACCAGAAGGACATCAAGAAGGCCGCATCAGCCTGGTGGAAGAAGGAGATTTCCTGGGCAGAAGACTTCTTGGCCATGAGGGAGCGGATGAAGGCAGAAGGCGGTTGGAAGGACAACTACTTTGACAGACCCTCGTTGCGCGACGTACTCGAACAGCTGGAAAAACTGCAGGCAGAGTTATGACGAGAGGCTTGTCATGAGAAGGACGCACACTTAATCATGTAATGAATAGGAGGAGGGGGCTAGATGAGTTTGAGTGATGGGTCATGGTATGTTAAATTACAGAACAAAACTCCGATTAAGATAAATGTACACCAGTTCTTGCACAAGCACCCAAATAGGGCCTTGGGCTCAATGTTCTATGTACAACAGCTGGGCAGTCTAGACGGAAAGATGGTGTGTGTGCAAAGAAACCTGCCTGGGGGGATATTCAACTACAGAAAATCAAGGAAATGTCGACTGTGATGAACAGAGGGTTTGTGATCAAAGGGGAGGGTGGAAAAAGACGGAGGCAAATGTCGCAGACAGCCAGCCAGAAGAAGTGAAGCATGGTAGGAAAGCCGGTCCCCTCCATAAGGTGACAACGAGGAGGTCTCTCTGTACAAGAGACAGCGACTCACTTCACCCTCTTGCTGCCTCGATCCGGGCCCTGACTCTGCCGTTTGGATCCCGTCGCAGGCGTCGAGGAGGACGCGACGCTCGCCCGCCTCCTCAGCCGCGACATGAGCGAGCGGAACTTTTCGACGTAGCTCGCGGGGGCGCCATGGACGCCCAGCTGGTCCTGGATGGCTTCGAGGGTGTGCAGGAACGGCGCGGCGGCGTCCGGGGGGAGCAGGTCGAGCACGTTCAGCACGAAGCCCTCGTCGCGGTCGCCGACGAGGCGGAGGAAGAGGTTCCGGTCCTGCCGCGGGACGGATGACGCCGCCGTCCTCAGACCGGGGGGCACGAAGTCGCGGTTGCGCTCGACGACGCCGGCGAGGATGCGGACGAGGGCGCGGGCGGCGCTGGAGCGCTCCCACGGCTCGAGGGGCCGCTCGCGGGTGAAGATGTTGGTGCGGATGAGGGCGACGACGCCGGTGATGTGGCGGGCGGCCCAGGCGACGTCGCGGGGCCCTTCTGCGGAGGCGGGGCGGGAGGGGTCTCCTGCGGCGAAGGCGTCGAGCTCGTGCAGGACGCGGTCGACGCGCTGGGAGAGCTTGCGGAAGGGATCGTTGACGGGGTCGGTGGAGCGCATCTGGGAGAGGAAGTAGTGGAAGAACTCGTCGTTGGCGAGGAGCATGCGGAAGACTGTGGCCTCGAGGTCGCGCCGTTTGATGGGGCTCTTTTTGCTGCGCCGGGAGGAGGAGGTTGGCGAGGAGAGGAGGTCGGGGCGGAAGTCCTCTGGGGCGCTGGAGGAGATGGCGGAGAGCATCTCGCGCACTTCCTGGATGCGGTGCGGGATGGGCCGGTCGAGAGGACGCGATGTGTCGCCTTCTTCCGAGGAATCGGATTCGTCGGATTCGTCGGAGGCATCCGAGTCGTCGGAGTCGTCTCCGGTTCCGAAGTCGGGGTTGAAGACGTGCAGGCCGTCGGCGAGCACGTCTGAATGGAAAGCTGATATGTCGTTGTACGGGTCTCCGATTTCCTCTGGGAAGCCGCCGGGCGTCATGGTCAGCGGAGACGACGGGTCGTGGTCGTACAGCGTCTGCTTGACGACCTGGTCCAGGAGCCAGATCAGGTGCTTGCAAGGCAGCCCGTCCCGGCTGTCTGTCGCCCTGCAGGAGCAGTGAAGACCGTTCCAGCGGCTGCCGGGGCCTCCGATGCGGATGGAGCGGTGCACCAGCTCCGTCATCTCGAACCCGTAGTGGTTGTCGTGGAGGAGGCAGAGCTTCAGGGAGAGCTGCGGCGGCTTCTTGAAGGTCTTGCGGACGCGTTTGCGGTCCTCGGGAGACAGCCTGTCGAGTCTGTAAGATAGTTTGGAGGGAGACGTGACAACGTCGGGCTCGTCTCCCTCCCCGTTGTCATCGTCGTCGTCTTCGCTCATGGCGTCGTCGCTGCTGGAGCCGCTCTCGGACTCGGACTCGGAGCTGGAGTCATGATATTCGGATGAGTCCTCGTCGTCTTGTTCTTGGGGCACTTGCCGCTGAGCCTGCGATCTGGTTGTGGGAGGCATCCTGGTGAGAGAAAGCTCTCTGAACTTGGAGACTGGGACGGCAGTGGGAGAAGACATTAGGCTGAGAAGGTGCGGCAGAGTCCTATATGCTTCCTGGAGACTGCGCTGATAGGGGTCTCCATGGTGATACGTCCATCGACTTCTTATAGACCAGGCACGACGAGGCACGTATGCCGGGGGAGGGGCGGGGAGGGGCTGAGTGAGGCCAACGATGAAGAGACCCCCAGCCAGAGAGAGGAAAGATGCCGTTGGCGATGCTGGATTATTGTTGGAACCAGGGGGCAGTGGGAGGAGGAGGCCCGACGAGACCTGGGCAGGGCCAAGTGCTCACGCGAGTGGTGGGCGTCAAGTCCCATGGAAATGATATGGGAAGCAGGAGGAGGGGGTGGGATGCGCGGGAGAAGGGAGTCAATGGCAAAGTGAGGGCAGCTACTGGCTGGCATGCCCCTGCGTCGAGGAGCTGGTCAGATTGACCTTCTAGAAAGACACAATTCCATTTTCCGTAGCCCGCATTTCTGTCCTTCTCCAGTCCCAGTCGCAGTGTCAGTGTGGTCCTGCGTGTCTGCGCTGGCCTTACCGCAGCCCGACCCCTGGCGCCGCCCTCTCTTCGTCAACCCCCCTTCATGGGAGCCGTAGTCCCGGGATTGTGGGAGAGGAGAGGTCGTCCGCCCGCAGCTTTGCGAGTGGTGACTGAGCGCATGTAGTTGGGCGGCGCGCGACAGAGTTTGGGGTTGTGAAACCAGATCAGGTGGTTTGTAGAAGCTTGAGCAAGCGAAGCAGACACCGCAGACTTCAGACGCGCGCAGGCGGCGGGCATGGGAGCCCCCCCTGGCGCCTGGACTGCTTCGATGCATGAACAATATGAGATAATGATCCGTTCTCTTGCGCGCAAAGACCTTTTTTGTTTCTCTCGCCCCCCGTCAGCCGTCGAGATAGGACAGCATACGCGCTGTGGGGTAGAGGGAGGAGCACGAGGGGGACTTGACGATGCGACGACGAGCAGAAACACGACGACTTTGCCTGTTTCGTGCGCTGTGGTTCGTCAGAGTGCGATGGCGACCCTGGCCAAGTGTCGATGAAAGAGTCGAAGTCGAAGTTGAGAGTAGGCGACACCCTGGTCGACGACCTGGAGTGAAGATGTTAAAAGTGGAGACGCCGCACCGCACGGCCGACACCGAGGAACACTGGACCGAGAGGGGATGGATGTCCCCCGTAATGTTTCGCTCACCACGCCGTTCAAGGCTTAGGTTAGGCGGCTTCCATTACCTAATCCACTGGTTTTTGGCTTCCACAGCGCTGTTCACCGTCCGAGAGTTCGAGGGGAAGCAGCACCGTCCTTCCCTCTCCATTCAGCCACGGCTTCCCTCTCCTGCCGAGCGCTCCCATTGGCCGAGTGTCGCCGTCGGCCGCTGGTGTAGGGCGGGACTGGCCTCCCTCTGGGCCGCCCAAACGGGCCGCTGGAACCCACCGAACTACGCTGCAAACGGACCACACACAGCCCCCACGGCCGCCGAACGGGCCGGCTGTCCCCTCCGGCATCCTATTCTCCTTCCACTCAGACCGTCGCGGGTGGGGTCCATTTTTAGACTAACAGCCATCCACAGCCTTCCACGGCCGCCTTCCACGCGGCCACCAACCACACTCTTGACCCACGGCAGCCGTCACTTTGACCTCACAAGGCTTCCTGTTTTTTGCAGTGCTGCTTTGCGCATACCGGATTGCTGGTAACATTTCTTCCAGGATGCCTCCGTCTTCCAGAATGCCTCGCTGTCAGACTCGGGAGGGCTCAGAGGGTTGTAGGAACGGCCAGTCCGGTCAACTCACCATGGCTACGACCCCGGGATGATGGCGAGCGGCCTCTCATCGCCCCCTCATCTCGTCATTGGTCCCGAACTGCCGGATTCTCATCAAAGAATAGATCAGGCAGCACCGAGGCCGTTGGCTCGACGTTGCGGTGCGGCTGACATCCCGTGAGTTGGTGATGCCGTTTGTCGCGAAGGACGCAGCCAAGCTTTGACGTTGTGCGATGTAGACGACAGGGGCCAAAGGGGCTGCTCTCGTCCATTGGCTGTCTGTCTGTGATCATGACGACAGGGCTATGAAGCGCATGCGATGGTGATGGGGTTCTGTGGTTCGAGGTATAGTGAGTGCTGTCAGGCAGGGGCAGCGTCTGTGGCGCTTAGTGGCTGTCTTCTCCCTAGACCGGAGATGTCCAGGAGGGTTCACTTCCGTGTTGGGTAATGAGGCATGCTGCTTCGGGTGAGGCCGCTGCAGTTTGTCTGGAACATGAGTCCATCTCACATCATGGCAGTTGTACGCGGGCTTCTGACTGGTTGAGACCGTTAGAGTCACCACGGCCTGCCTTGTCGATGTCTTCTCCTGATTGGAGATGACTCCTTCCCCTGAGACCAACTGCCCTGTGATAGCCTGAACTGACATGATGGCACAAGATCGAGCTCGCTATCGTTCGTCGAGCGTCAGTCAAGCGGTGAAGATTCACATGCTGCACATGGCATCCTGTTGGGAGCATATCTCGCCAGGCGCAACTGCAAGGGATCGGGTTTGAGCGAGCCAATTTGCCGACAGGAGTTACTCCACGGCTACATCAGTCAGTATCTTCGAGAAACCACCACATGCGGCCATACCCACTGGAGAACTCGGGATCCCGTCCGCTCTCCCATCGATAAACCAGCGAGGGCCGAAGTAGTAGTTGGGTCGGAGACGACCAGCGAATGCTCGGTGTTGCATGTGATCTTTTTCATGAGACTTTCTCTTTTGACTGACAATACCCGACGGGCTACCAATCTACGTGTCAAGGGGAAGTCTGATGGTTGTGGGCGGCGTCGGGGCTGTGACGTGCCTCCTGCGGTGGCGACTACGGATGGTCTCTGAAGTGTATTAAACCACACGTGGGTGCAAGTATCAGTAGGGCACTTGAACATGCCACTTTAAGGACAACGTGTAGCATAGGAGCTTCACTCTGTGCCGCGTGCTAAACCAGGCCGGCGGAAAATCGCATCGCTGAGACGCTGTCTCAACTCATACGTTGTAGCTTCATACTTTATGGGAATATAGATCCTCTTAGACCTCAGCAGCGTTGGTGCCCACTCCGGCTTGGGTTGTCTAGGAAGTATTTTCAATATTCAAAATACACAGTTGACTAAATGTAGATCACCTCCTATACCGAATGCGTTGTATGTACATATGTTCTTCGGAGTAGGGATATTACTTAGCCCATGCACTGTTTGTCCCTGGAATAACGAAGACACAAATTGGGGAGGCGCGTGAGCCAATATGAGATGACATTTCATCATTTAACACGGAATTTCTGAATGGGCTTTCACGCTCTTCGTCCGTCTCCTCTCTGCTCAAACTCGGGCGTATCCGTTGCCGTGCTTTGTTCCGGGCACTTACGCTCTCATGTCACGAATGTCGCGCAGATCGGGACTGCCTTCCACAAATCCGATTGGATTGTTTCCCAATTAGAGAGCTTGTGAGCTCGTCATGTACACTGATCTGTCCTCACACCGCAGAATGGCATCGGGTTTCGGTCCAAAACTGGAGGTAACGCAAGGTAACGAGGCAGGTATGCCAGATCATCTTGTGAAATCCGGACCATTACCAAATGTCGAGATTGCACCATAGTGAGAGCTCTCTACAATGTGATGGATGTGCTGAAAGTCAGACGTTGACAAAGCCGGGCAGGGAAATCTCTTAAAATGACCAGGCGCCTGCCTTTAATCGACCACGTAAGGGCATTAGCCGAGAACGTCCGAGAATGTTGTGTTTTTCTTCTTCTTATAGATCCCCCGAGCTAAAGAGCAACATTTGCGATTAATATGCATGAATCTGCGAGTTTAATGCCTGACTATCTGTTGCTAGGTTACTGCTTCTACTCACGGCCTCAACCCAGATGCTAAATTTCCACCTGTTCAGCGATGGTCAGGAAGCTAAGACTTTGCATATGTTTACTGTAAATTTCCTCTTGCACAGCTTGAAATTGCGTTTCATCTAGACGCGTGATGGTCCTGAGGAGTTTGGTAACCGACACATCGTCCCCAACCATACGTCATGAAGACATCCCCACCAATCGCCCCTCCGCCCCAGCTTCAAAAAAGGATACAGAAAGGGCAAAAACATACAACAACGGGCATTCGCCGGTCGTCACCGACCCAACTACTACTCCATCCCTCACTGGCTTATCTATGGGAGATCGGACGGGATCCCGAGTTTTCCAGTGGGTATGGTCGTATGTGACGGCTGAGGAGGGTGGAGGAGCTGATGAAGGCATCGTCGTCAAGGTGGGGCACATGGGCACAGAATCAGGCTCCCGCAGCTCAGCGCCTTGCAGCCTGTCTGTCAGAAACAACGTATCACCTGCATACAGAGCGGAATTGTAAGACCGGTAAGTCGGGAGTTGTCTCGGAGTCTATCATGAGGCCTTTTTGATGCGAGGCGCGGTTCCATCAGAAGCCCTCACTGTGGCCAGAAACCGTTGAGATCCCGCAACGCCTGGCGCAAGGTCTTTTTGCATCAGTAACCCAACATACATTGTGACCCCAGGTCATCATCACATTGAAAGAGGGTCTGCTTTTTCGAGTCATCGTCTTGCTCGGCACCAAGACATATGATGCTTTTGACCCTTGGCTTATGACCATTTGGACAGTCTGGATCCACATAACCCCTGCTTCAACGTTGGCTCTTGCATATGAAGAATCTCTGAACCAACCGTTGGTCCATCAAAGGTTACAATATGAGCTGTTTCTTCATGCTGCCAGGGTCTCGAGTTCCACAATGCCTCGGACTTTGTCCCATGGGAAAAGGGACTCTGCAGCGGCGCTATCCACTTTCTGTTGAAGATATTTTCATAAATGCACTAACATTCCCCTCAGTTCTTGGCTCAAACTGACCTGAACATCATCGAAACTTACATCTTGTATTCAAAAGGCATAATGACTTCCTGGGACGCCAAGGGCAAGTTCGCCGTCGTCACCGGCGCTGGCAGTGGTATGTGCTAAACCCCTGATATACCCGGAACGTCGTGGTCTGATCGAAATCCACTCTAGGTATCAACCTTGCATTTGCCGAGCAGCTGCTAACAACAGGCTGCTCCGTTATCTTTGCTGACATTGCTCTGCGTCCGGAGGCAGAGGAACTCATCGCCAAGTATCCCCATCCATCCAAAGATGAGTCGCCATCTGCCGTCTATCACAAGATGGATCAGTCCAACTGGGCTCAGGTATCAGAGACGTGGGAGTTTGCCCTAAAGACTTTTGGCAGGGTCGACCTTCTCTGCCCCGGAGCTGGCATCTGGTACGAATCATGGGCTTGCCTCAGTAGCATGGAGTACGTATTGACGCAAATCTATAGGGAGCCTCCAACAAGCTCTTTCTGGGATCTTCCGGGTGTCTCGCCGCTGGCCAAGGATGACCCAAACGCTACCCCCGGAGTGTACAACATCTTCGCCGTTAACGCCATGGGGCCCATTCGTTTCGCTCAGATCGCCATCGACTACTGGCTGCAGAACAAGATTGCAGGCAACTTGATCTTCGTGTCGTCCCTGAGCGCATACCTCCCAACCATCGGCACGCCGCTCTACAACGCCACTAAGGGCGCTCTCAACTCCTTCACTCTGAGCCTGGCCCAGATGAAGGCCCGCCTCGGCATCCGAGTCGCGTCCATGTGCCCCGCGACCACGTTCACACCAGCAGTGCTCCAACCGTACTGCGTAGGAAAAGTTCGCGAGCAAGACATGAACATGTCGGCTACGGAGTGTGCCGAGGTAATGCTGCGCATCGTGACGGACGCCGCGTATGGCGACGGGCAAGTTGTCGAGGCTATGCAGTTTGGGAGCAAGGAGAGGTCGGATGTGAGGGTACGTGTGGTGCCGTACCAGAGCCTGCTGCCCGACATCGACTTTGAGGGTGACTTCAGCGGGAAAAACATCCTGGTGGAGGAAGAGAAGCTGTGGCAAAAGTTGAAGACGGAGGGTGTGAGGTCATGAGAATTGGAGGTAGACTTATTTGCACTTCGACGATGATAAGAGCTATTTTAGAGGAAAGCAATTGAAGATCTAAAACTGATAACTAGCTTTAATTTTCTGATTGTCTCCTGCTGTCGGAACCCTTAAGAGGTGCTTGCTCTATCTGAATTTAAGCCAGTCTCGTAGTCGTCTTCCAGAATTGGCACCGGCTGAGGGGTTTAAGCCCGAGTCTTACACAATATGTTGCTCAAAAGGCCGAAAAGGGTTGTCTTCTGTCTCGTGTTTGATATAGCGATATGCACGTCAAGTTGAAGGGCGACCAGAAATTGTGGTCTCAAAGGCAGCGTGCTGCTCATCGTCATCCATAAGCCCAACTTCGGCGCCACGAAGATCAAAAAGCGAATGGGTGGCGGTAAAGGAAGTTTTTGGCGCGTCGTAGGCACTCAGATCGTACTTCTCGCGCATCACATCCAGCGCCTCTGTCCAGGTTCCTCGAGCCATACAGATATTTTTGAATTCACGAAAGTGCATCGGCCCATCCCGTATGAAGCTGTTAAGCCTTGTCGAATCAATGCACACGGCGTGGAATAAAAGCAAAAGTGGCCGCGCCCATTGCCTGGGCTTCATGATAGACGGCAGATACCAGTCGCCGACTGAGAAATTCAAGTACGTCTCGTGCATGAGTGAGGTGAAGTCTCAAAAGAAGAATCACTCCCCGTGGGCGAGAATCGCGCAAGGCGATCCCATTGCATCGGCTTCGTGAAGAGTCCTACGTAGCGGTCTCCCCTCATGAAGTTCTCATCGCGGACCAACGCCATTTCCAAATCCCCGCACACGGTACTGATCGATTGCGACCTCCATAGATAATCTGATACTTCCAAACGAGTGAATCGGGGCATCTGAGACAGTGCATTGACAACTTCGTGGACGAAGTTTTGTCGAACCGCTTCATACTCATTCAAACTGTGCCTGTAGGCTTCATACATCTCCACGAGTGCATGTTGTTGACGGAAAAGAGCCAGCCATCTCTGTTCTCCATCAGCGCCATCTCTCGGGGTATCACGGAGGTCTTTCCAAGAGGTCAAGAGATCCTGAAGCTGCTGGTGTCGCGGTTTCGCATCCTCGTTGTAGGCCATAATGCTGTGTAGGATGGTCTGCCCCCTCTCGTCTTTCCGATAAAGCGCAAACTCGAGCATCCACACCGCGTAAGCCGCGAAATTCCATGCAGATGCTGCTACATTGGCGCAGAAATAGCCAAGCGAAATGCGGACTCGTTCAATGCCGTTGCGCAAGTGTGGGCGCTCAGCGATGTATTTGAATCGATCAAAAGAACTCTTCGTCATCTGAACTGTCACACAGTGCAGGAGAGCAGGCGAAGATACGATGTTGAGGGTCTGACAGGTGAGGCGAAGGCTTTGGATGTCGCGATAGCCGCGTGCCATGTATGGTTTCTCGACCTGTTTGGGGTCTTCGTTGTCATTGCCGTCGAGGTGCTCCGCCACGAAGCCGAGAACTTCTGGCGGAACATCGAGCAGGGTAAGCGGTCTAATAGATGACCGCGAACGCTCAAGAGTGATTTTGCGCAACATGTTGTGTTCGAGAAGAAGCCTTTTGGCAAGGTCCACATGATGGCTGGGAGGGGCATCTTTGAGGGCGACTGTGGCAGAGGCCCGCACGGAGTTGATTTCGAACATCTTGACAGGCCAGACGTCTTTGATATGAAGCATTAGCTCGTCTATGTCGGTCATTCGCTGGTAAATGGCACCGAGACTCCAACTCGCAAGGTCGTCCGGCTGAGGTTCTCCGGTGCATAGCTCTTTGCCGCGATCACAGATCTGGATGTCTGTCCATCTCCGATCGTGAAGAACAGGGCGAGGGTCAATGTTGCATTCAGGAGGTGTGTTGCTCATCATATCCCCACAATCCCAGTCATCAACCGGGTCATAATAACCGCGATCTTTTGACCAGTCAATGTCGAACCAGGTCCATGTCTGGCGCCTGAGATCGATACGCCTTTCCATTTCCCGAGCGAACTTCTCTCTAGGATCGTATTGACCGTCATCGCTGCCACTTCCGAAATTTCCGGCCGATGCGCCGGCCATAGCGAGAAGAGCGCTCAACATTGCTTGGGGATCATGAGCCCCGAGGTGATCGTCATCATCCCAGGGGTCATCATTGTCCCAGGGGTCATTATCTTCCCAGGGTCCATCACCGGGATAACCGTAGTCGTTATGCTCTTCATCGTCGCTATCCATGGTTTCTGGCGCAAGGTAAGCACTTTTATGGTATGCGGTCGAAATATGTAGTCTGCTGAGGAGTCCACAGCGATGATGAAGTTGGGAGATTGACAAACAAGTGTCCAACACGAAGGGATGCCCCGCCCCCGCAACAACCTTTCAAATGGCTGCCTCTGCGAAAGACATGGGTTAATGTACTGGCTTTGATAATGTGACTGCCTGTCGCAATTGAAAGTAGTTCACTAACAGGAGTTGACAGCGTTTAAACTGGGGACTTGTCAACAACCCAACAACATTCCCTTGATCCAACACATTTTCGATGAGTACATATTGACGATTCCGGCTCGATCAGCCGCATGCGGTCAAGCCATCAACTAGGGTCTCTCTTATTAAGATCCGATGGATGCCTGGCGACCCGGAAAGTGGGAAGTGCAAGAAAACTGTGACATTCGTTGGTTTGTGCAGCGATCTGCCTCTCGCCAAAAAACCAAAACCCGGCGGATGTCGTATGAGAATGCCATGGCCGTCTTTTGCTTTTGAAGACAAACTCGTGATTCGTATATTTGACTCAGTGTGAATTACTCATTGCCCCTTCCATGTCCAGCCACAACTGCCACCATCACATCCCATTAATTAGCCAATCACTTTGGGGATATCAGAACTCACTACTGCAACTTCACCTGCACCTGCAGGCACAGGCAGAATCAGGCTCGCTTTACACGTGACGTGACTGCCAACCCCGCAGATCAATCAGCATGAAAGGGCAAACCGGTAATAGGCACTGGTTGATGACGGCAGGTGTGCAGCTGCCTAGCTTCTAGCAGAGCAACAGCAGCGATGGACTGGAGTTTCCTTTCCAGATCCAAGAGTCAGTCGGGCAAATCAACGACATCTACTGAAAAGCCGGACTATGGCCTCCATACAATTGTCCCTCGGCATTCGGCCGCGCTCGAGGGAACCGATATCGTTGCCATCCACGGGCTGAACGGCCATTATCTCAAGACTTGGACCGACGAGAAAACCGGCACCAATTGGCTTAGGAGTTTCGTTCCCCAAATTGTGCCGGTGGCAAGAGTCATGTCATTTTGGTACAATTCTACGGTCCAATTTAGCAAGTCCACGTCAGACATCGATGTCTTCAGTGGCCGACTTCTGGAGGGTTTGCTGGCCGATAGAGAATCTATCGAGGAGCAGGACCGCCCACTCATCTTTATATGCCATTCTCTGGGCGGTCTTGTGTTTAAGCAGGTCAATCTTCGTCAGCCGTCTTGAGAACTTCTGAAGCTGATAGTCATACATAGGCGTATCTGAAGGCGCTTGACAGCGACGAGCACATGTTCCTCGCCAAAAGAATCAGTGGAGTCTTCTTCTTTGGTACACCACACAAGGACTTGTCCCTTGCAAGTTGGAGCACGATGACGACACGTCTTCTGAAGACGGCATCGCTCGGGGCAAACACCAATACCCAGCTTTCCAAGGACCTTGAGCCAAACTCTAAGCGCATGGCCAATATCTCAGAGGCATTCCTCAAGCGTTGTTCTAGTCTCAAGATCATCTCCTGCTATGAAACACTGAAGATGGATTATCTGAATACCTTGGTAGGTGGATTGACTCCCAACTTGTCAGTTACATTTGCAACAAAGGTGCTGATGTTTCACAAAAGGTTGTCGAGAAAGATTCGGCTGTGTTAGGGCACTCTTCCGAGAAGGCCATCGCCATCGAGAGTGATCACCGAGGCATGTGCCGATTCGGCACGATCACGGAAAAGAGGTTCTCCGCTATCAAGTTCAGGCTTGGTCGTCTGGCAGATGACGCTCAAAAGGCCATCTTTCTGGAATCAGACAATCTCATGACAGCACTGAATAGCTCCAACTACGCTTCACATAGGGCCAGAAACCCGGCACCAATCGAGGGAACTTGCACTTGGTACTTTGAACACAAAAAATTTAGAGCTGGTACGAATCAACTGGGTCTCCTCTTCTATGGATATCGGCCGACCCGGGTTGCGGGAAATCAGTGTTCGCTTCTTACCTCGTCGACCATTTCAAGGAACTCTCACAAGCGAATGCACTCAACGTTTGCTACTTCTTTTTCAAATCAGACAACGAGGAGCAGTCTGATGTTGCAAGGGGGATTCAGGCTATTCTGCACCAGCTTTATACCCAGCAGAAAGACCTTACGCGCTGCCAGAAACTTCGTGGAGAGGACTTGGAAAGCATTGAAAAACTATGGGTTGCATTTTCCCAATCGACCGTTCACGGCGATGCTAAGTCTACCATCTGCATCCTGGACGGAATAGACGAATGTGAACCGAAACCTCGAGGGGTTCTACTGCGCTGCATAGCCGAACACTTCGCGAGCGACGGCTTGCAGCAGCAATCCAAACTCAGGGTACTGATAACGAGCCGCCCTGAGAATCAGATCAAAGTCGCACTGGGCAAACGCAGGAGGTCCACGAGTGGCTCAGGAGCCCGTCGACAATCGTACGAGATGATGCGACTGAGGGCTGAAGATGAGACGGAATCGATCAGTGACGATGTATCTCGGGTGGTTGCTGCGAAAATCGAAGACCTCATTGACCGGGGTCTACCCGTCGGCCTCCTCAAGAGCTTGCAAGCCGAGCTCGTGAAGCGAGCTGATCGCACCTTTCTCTGGGTCTCGCTCGTGTTGAGTCTCTTGGAAAAGAAAGTCGAGAGCGGGGCTTCCAGACGAGATCTTGATGGAATTCTCAACACGAGAGACATCTTCAGCGTCTACTCGGAACTCCTCGCATCGAGGCCGGAACCTATGAAAGCTAGAAAGATGCTTAATATCATCCTCGCGGCCGCACGACCACTCACGATCGAAGAAGTCAGTATCGCACTTACTGTAGCTCCCTATGGTGATGATTCCGGTGATGGAAGTCCGGAAAGACACCTGGGACGCCGTGCAAAGCTGACATTCGACGACGTAGAGTATGGACTCGTGTACCCCCTCGAGAACCACCTGAAACATGTCTGTGGCCATTTCATTCGTATAATCAAGAAGAAAGTGTATCTAGTACACGAAACAGCAAGAGAGTTCTTATTGGCGCCGAAGACCTCGGCTGCACAGAGAAAACGCAGCACAAATCCGCTCCTAGGTCCGCCTCATGAGAGCCAGCTCCACCATTTTCAGCCCACCTTTTCCCTCGTCAACGCCAATACACTCCTTCTGGACATCTGCGTTGCCTTCCTATACTGCTTAGCCAAACCATCGAAGACTTCACCGCCAGGCGAAGTCAGCCCCAAAACCGAACCCTTTCTTTCATATGCTGCGCTTTCCTGGACGATACACTATCACCGCACCAAGCGGCTGCTTGACCAGCGCGAGAACCGATACTACCAAAACCTATGTCACCCACTGTTTCCAGGTTTTGACTGATGGATGCAAGAGTTTTGGGACCCGAACCACACCATGGCAAAGAACCAAGTCTCACATCCGCCGGGGGCGCCAGATGATATCCAGGACTATTACATCGAGTACTTCAACCTCGAGACGCATAGCTCGTCCTCGCATGGAGCAGGCCTGGATGACAAGCACGACAGCGCCATCTCTGATTTCGAGTCGTGCGAAGATGAACAATCAGACGCCTCCGAAACATCGCTGAACTACGGTGGCGTAGCTTTTGGTCACGACAAAGTTGAAGATCACCGTGATCGCCTCCATTTACCGTTATGGCGGGGCGCTGATACAGCTCTGTCGAGCAACCCGGGTTCTTTGAGCAATCACTATTTTCCACTCAAGGTTGACGGAGAAGGGCTGGTGTCTTTGGATTTCAAGGACAGGTCATCCCATAAGCCTTCTGAATCTTAGATTTAGGGAGGGCACAGTGACTCAAGAAAGGTCTCAGATATGCTGCGAATATTAGGAGGGCAATGAAGTTGCTGCAACAAGAGCTATACCAGGGTTACAGCTTTTGTCCCGAATGACCGAGTTTTGAACTGTGAAGAATGTTCAGACCAGCGACCTCTCTCTCGCTAGACTGAATCTCGGTTCAATGGAGAGTCCGCTGGAGCCCAATCAGGCTTTAGGCATAGCTGGCGAGGACATAAGTTCAATATGCAGAGAGCTCATGAGATGCCCTTGAACAGGACAATCAGATGCTTCTTTTGCCACTGAGTTTTGCCAGCCGGGCAGTGTTACTTAGCTATCGGGGCAGTCTCCACCACATAAGCATTGCATAATCCGTATATCCTATATCTGTGTCGAAACGACTATACTCGCTATCATCGTCACTATTGTCGTTGCCGTCGTCATCGTCCATCGTCATCCCTATCTATCTCTACTGTCGTCCTCGTTAATGTATGAGGTACACTACGATATAGTTCTAGGGGACAATGCCCGGATGGCCAACTGACACTGCCCGGCTAGCAAAACTCTTGTCAATACTGAACTCTCGAGGTTGACAAAGGGCATCATCTCGGAATGGAAGATGAGGGTCACGACGGACTGACATTTGCAGCGCCTCAGCCATTCTAATCAGATCAACTTGTGCTATTGAAGTAGCGAGTATCATTTCTGCATATTCTACCTAGTCTCTGTGACTTCATTCAGTGGGGGTGCTGCAGCAAAGTCACGGTTCCAATTGGCATGGCCCTGCCACATCATCAAATACGTAAGAACACAAACGGCTTTCACACGACAAGAAGCGTTCGAACCTACAACTGAGTGAACACGAGACGGCCACTAACCCATAGTAAGACAATCAAAGCATAGTGTACTCTCATGCTCGCCTTTCAAATGATATCTTAACCCTCCATCATCGGTGAAAGATACCGAGGCCTCGATCGCTGACTGGCCACGCGGCATAGCGAACACCTAGCGGTGAAACATCGACTCAACCTCGAGATTAGAGCTTTGCCTCTACTCCGTTTTGAATAAAAATACGATAAATCTCGACCTCAAAGCATCAAGCCATCTCATCGACTCGACCAGGTGACCTCAGCGCTCTAGGGCCAGGAGCATATAGGTGGCGTGCGATATCTGAAGGATCAGGCTGGATGTCGCATCCGTGCAGCTCAAACACTTACCTGTGTCGATGCAAGTTATCAGCAATCTCCATCAATGTTCTTAAGTCCGTCACAGACACGATCAAGGCTCAATCAGCTCAGCTCACCGACGTGTTGAGCCGAGGTCCATATCCAATCTGGAGATGTTGGGGTAAACGCCCACCCCAGCCCGCTTACCCCAACTTCCGTCAGTTACCCGCCGAACCAACAACAACCAGTACCTAATCACCAAGAACCCATCAAAAAGATCGTGCAAAAGACCCAAAAACCAATCCCTTCATCGCAATATCCTTCCCCTCGGTAATCTAAGTCACGCTCACCCAAAGGATCGATCCCCAACGGCACCAGCCCCGATTTGTCCGCCCTACGCCCAGCCAAGACCTCGCTCAAGGGCCCCTCCCCCCCCGGGGGCCTGGTGTCGGGGTCAAACGGTTACGCGATATTTACATGATGAAAACCCTCACGCAAAGCCATCCACGTTTTCTTCGGTGCGTTCGTCCCGCCGCGTCGGGAACGGCCAAGACCGCCGCCGTTCCGTGTGTTCCACAATTGAGGCTCTTTCGTTCTTTCTTCAACGACATCCGTCATTTGGTGATGTTCAAGTTAGATATGGTGTGTGGTAGGTCTTTAAACCAACGACAACCAGATGCATATCGCTATCTTATCTCCCTGCGTTACCTCAGCCTTAGCCTTTCTACCTACCTACCTACTCGGGTAGGTAAGCAGAGTGACATGCGCCACACACACACACACACACACACACACACACACACACACACACACACACCAGCGCCGGCGAAAACACCACGCCGCTGCGCCCGCAACGCCCGCAGACACCTCCCCCAAACCCACCCTTTGCGCCCGCAAGATCCAAACACCCGGGTCTCCAGGAGGCTCTTGGACGGGAAGGATTCCTTTTCATTCGGCGGCACGACATCCAAGGAGAATTAAAAAAGGAAGAAAACGTAGATAAACAAGGGGCGAACCGTCCCGAGAATCTGGGGAAATCGAGAAAAGAGCCAGATCTCGCGGGCGCATCGCGTCTCTTAGCTCTGCAGCCGCATCGCGAGGCAGGTTGACGCACATTTCGCGATGCTGCACAGTATTTCAACCTCACTTCTTACCGGAACGAGCGTGTGACTGCTGCTTGCTGCTCTTCTCTCTTTCTCCCGTACTGAGTTTGTGCCAAGACGTTGAACCCCATGGGCGGCTGCTCCCAATTCTCCCACTTGGCGGCCGGTGCTCCTCTTTCTCCCACGCTGAGCTGCCTCAGAGCCCCCGCCTCTCACTCCTCACTCACCTCTGTCCCTCTTCTCTTCTTCTTCCATCGGCAAAATGGCCTCCCACATCTTCCCAGTGTGACCCCCATATCGTCCCACACCGATAATCTCTCCCCATCTCGCCCCCCGTCCCCAGTTCGGACGCCCTTCCTGTCATTGACGCCCAAAAACCCATTTCAGAAGCCTCCCTCCGCTCCGTAGTTCGCCGACGGCTAGACGGCGTAACTACAAAGTGGGCACATTTGATTGTCGAAATCTCCAGCCAGGGGGTGGTTGACAACCAGTCACGGTTCGAGTCCTTATCTCTGCGACTTCGGTGCGGGTGGGGTAGGGGGAGACTTTTTTTTTTTTTTTTTTCTAAGAGAGCTGACAGGGTTACCGGGGATCGCAAGAAACGGCGCCAGTTCGATGTGGATTGTGGCCTCCCCCCTCAGGGGTCCTCGTCGATGGAACGGGGCGCGGCTTTTCTGCTAGCGGCATCCTTGGATGCCCAAAGGCAAAAACCCGGAAGAGAGAGCCGGGGGTGCGTTGAGGCAGGAAGGTGGTTTAGTTGCTGCGGTATCCGTATGGCACGGTGTTGTGTACGTCCGCGACGGAGATACTTTCGCCTGGGCTGGACGGGGTGCTCGAGGGATGCGTGGTCATGGCATTGTGCTGCTCATAGGATTCATGTATGCCGACCGAGGTGATTGACCGACATACAGCGGCACGATGCCGCGGTTATGGCTTGGATTCGCCCAAGTACGCAGGAGAGTATATTGAGTGACCACGAAAGGGAAAAGCAGGTCTCGCCAAGTGTACAATAACACAGACGCACTGGTCGGCATCCCTCCTCGAATTGGTCGTCAAACCCCCTCAATCGTCCCATGGTATGTACGGTGGTAGAGCAGGGGAGGGAGGGAACATGTTGCCCGGGAGAGAACACGAATCCGCTGACAGCTTCTCTCTCACCCGCGGTCTCCGAGACCGACCTGGCCGAAGAGAGCAAATTGCGGCCGAACTCTGCCATGCCTGACCAGCCAGCCCGACTGGAAATCCACGGATGGAAAAGTAACGCTGGCGACGCAAAGAATGCCAAGACAATTTTCATCCGGGGAACATTGGCACAAACATCCGCAGGGAAAGAAACTCTCCTCGCTTGAATCGCATGCGAAAAGTCTAAAGCAGAGGGGAAAGTCAATGACTTTTGCAGGTACATACATACGACAGCAGCAGCACTGTCCAACAGATGGAGAGGGGAAATTGGGCACAACCCACACACACGCCGTTTGCCGAATTGCAAAGCAAGGTCGGGCGACCGGCCCTGGTGTTCGATTCGGGTTTGCGAACGAATGAGATTTCTGAAGGACAGGAATAAAGCCTGTGCCAAGCTGACGGCGGTGTTTCGCACCCTCCCGCTGACTTGTGACACCGCAAGAATCCGCCAAGAACTCTGGTGCGCTGTTTTTGTGCTCTCATGTTTCCTAGGGCGTCGTGAAGGATGAGACATTGAGTGACGCTCGCTCGTAATGGGCGCACAGAAGAAACTCTGTGCATGTCTGTTCGTCTGGACTTTGGTGTCCACAGGCACGTAGGTCACTTGCGCAAAAAAATTGGGCTTCAGATATGTTGTAATCGTAAATTTTTGAATAAATTCGCTTTTGGGCGTACCACTGTATCATGGGTATTAATACAAACGAATATGTATGCTCGCTTCGCGTTTCGCGGGATATCCTTCCATCATCAAATCAAATCCGTAGACAAAAACCCATCCTGTAGGAACGCCTCGCCGTCTGACGCTAAATGGCGTCGAAATCAACGGTATCTAGAAC